TATATATATATATATATATATATACACACACACACACACAATAAATATAAAATCTTACAGAAAGTTCTTTTCTTTTTTTTTTCTTTGTTTAACACTTTTTCTATTTCTCAACAGAAAAGGTTACAGAAGGAACTGCTAGCCTTGCAGAATGATCCGCCCCCTGGAATGACCCTAAATGAGAAGAGCGTACAGAACACCATCACACAGTAAGACCGTCATTTCCCGACTCTTTGTTTAATCTCATACCCATGTGTGTGATGATCACGGTGTACTTATTAACAGGCTAGCTTTCACAGGCCGTCCTGTATCAGGGACTGTCACGGGGAAACATTTAAAAGTGCATTTTTTTTTTTTTACTTATTGTTGTGTTATTTATACTTCGTTATTGTCATGTCAGGCCTGGAGAACTCTCGCCCATTGTGGGCATTGTGTTTTTAAATGTTATCAATTTTAAAACAAACCTTTCCCATTTGGTGTCATTTGCAAGGCTGCTCTGCCCGATGTATAGTTTGTCTGCTCAGAGACTAATCAAAAATGAAAGCTGTCAGCTTGAGAGGGTAGTATTGCCGTAACGAACCTTACTGACCTCTTTTTGGCCCGTGCATGTGGTCTGGAAATATCTAGCAGTCTTTTATGGGGAAAACTGTCACAGAAAAGGTGCATCATATTGTTCCAGAAAGGATTGCTGAACTGAAGTGTGTAGTTGCGTCAGAAATTGGAAGCTGTCTTCACATATGTGTTTATATCTTTCTGTGTGGCAGTAATGAGAATAAATCACTGACATAATTACTCAGTTTTATAGAGCTAAACTTTGACAGCCAAGGGTTATAAACATAGCATTTCTTTTATGTAACTCTGGTCAGTATTGTGGGAACATAATTTAAAGATGTGGGTTAGTTTTCCATTTTTATTTGGTAGCTTTGTAGCCTTGTCTTGGTACATATTTTGTCAAAGAAATGTCAGGCATGTGTTACGAGTTTAGCAACTTGACAGACGTGTTTGTCCTGAACTAATTGGGCTTTGTGTTCATTGCTGTCCATCAAGTTTTTTTGCAGGAGGTTCTCTGATGCAGATTTGTCAAATATGCTAGATGGGAGGGCAGCAGTTGAGGTTTAACCTAAATATAAACTCTTACTCTAGAAAACCTCTTGGTGTCTTCTCTCACGAGAAGTAATACACTACAGGTCATAAGTTTGGAATATTTAAGATTTTTAAAACTTTTTTTGAAGTCTCTTATGTTCACCATGTCCATGGTGAACACCTGCTTTCTTTATTTTTTTAAATTAAATATACAATAAATCAGTAATATTGTGAAAATATTATTTCAGTTTAAAATAACAGCTTTTTATTTTAATTTAATATTTTAATTTATTTCTGTTTTGACAGCTGAATTTTCAGCAGCCATTACTCCAGTCTTACTTACTCCGAACGTTTGAATGAGTGGTAATAATATCATGGTTTCCACAAAAATATTAAGCAGCACAGCTGTTTTCAGCTTTTATAATAATAAGAAATGTTTCTTATGAGCACCAAATCAGCATATTAGAATGATTTCTGAAGGATCATGTGATGCTGTTTTAGCTTTGTTAAAACAGGAATAAATTGCATTTCAAAATATATTCAAATAGAACACAGTTCTTTTGAATTATAATAATAATTCCACAGTATTACAGGTTTTTTTAACTGTATTTTTGATCAAAGAAATTCAGCCTTGGTGAGCAGAATAGACTGTCCGCTAGTGTAATACAAACTAAAAGGCAGAAGTGTGAGCTCCTTTGCTGACGCAGCACTGATGGTCCAGGAATATTTCCGCTCTATCTGTGGAAGGTTCTCTCTCTTCTGAAAACAAACTACTGCTGTAGACAGGGTTCCCACTCTTTCATGAACACCAGATTCAAGGACTTTCAAGGACTTTTTAAAGCACCATTTATTTTATATCAAGCACCTATCAAATTCACACCCCAGAATATGTAGTGTCATGAAAGTCCTTACAGTACTTAACATTTCACTTACACTGCTGAAACTTACTGCCAGATTCTGGAAGATCAATTCTTCAAACAGTGGTACAAGAGGATGTGGTGCTGGTCCTCTCAACTTATCTATAAAAATAGTCTTCATGTATTTCACAACACTTCAGAATGTTATTCTTATTAAGTAGGGGTCATTTTTTAGGATTTTTTATCCAAGCAAAGTCTCTGAGAACCTGACACCTTGTAATTCTGGAGACTCAAGGTTGCAGTTCTGGAAAATAGTGGCACTGGAGACTAAAAGGTTCCTGATGGTTTCACGCTTAATTCTTCAAATTAATTATTAATTATTTTGCAGTTAACATGCTCTTTTCTTTCTTTCTGACCCCGCTGACCCAATGAGCATTTTGCTGACCAATGGTCATGCCTTAACTTTGAATTAACTTTGTTATTTCTGTATTGCATATTTCTCATGGGGATTTAATCATTTTTGACTTCTCAGTCGGAGTTAAATCTCTTTTTTGGCTCATTTCATCCGTAAAAGAAAAC